CCCGAGTGCTGGGATTAAAGGCGTGCGGCACCACCACCCGGCTTCCTCTATATTTCTTAACTACTGAGATGTAGTTAGGCCCTTCAGTTGCAGCTTATGCCACTTTGCAGAAACCTTACTTAACCAGTACAAGAAGACTCAAAAGCTGAACTGCAAAACTGATTGACGAAAGTTTGTTTACATGCAATGTAATGTACTCTATAAATTTAGGATCTCTCTGCAACACAGAATTACTTTGATGTATTTTTTGAACTAGTTACTGGATCTTAGAATCATATTTTTCCATAATTTTAAAAAGAATATAAAGCATTTTAGAGAACTCAGAATAATGATCAATAAAATAAAACCTGAGGTTGAAGTAGCGCTGAGGAGATGTCTTAGTCATCTGTGCTTGCTGCACAAAGATGATATGAATTCAATCACACACATACATGCACACAACTGATTAAAGGTGGCATATGTCTGTAATCCAAGCTCTGAGGATGTGGGCTTGCTGGCTAGCTGGCTAGGAGTCTAAATCAGTGGGGTCCAGGTTCAGTGAGAAACTATTTTAAGAAATCCTTAGCAGCCGGGCGGTGGTGGCACATGCCGGCGGATCTCTGTGAGTTCGAGACCAGCCTAGTCTACAAGAGCTAGTTCCAGGACAGGCTCCAAAGCTACAGAGAAACCCCGTCTCGAAAAGGAAAAAAAAGAAAAAAAGAAATAAGTTAGCTAGTAAAATAAGTAACAAGATAAAGAAGCACTGAGGAAGACACCAGACTTTGACCTGGTTCCACACATGCATGCAAAGGAGTCAGAATAGCCTACAAAGCGAGAGTAATAAACAGCCTTCAACAAGGTTTCAGCAACCATATTTACAAGTAGAAGAACTGAACATTTATTCAATACCATAATAAATATCACTTCATTTTCCCTCAAAAACAAGAGAGTTGCTGGTATATAGCCCCATTTTTTAACTGAGTTATTGAAAACTGTGCATTAATTAATTACTTCTAGGTCACAAATCTGCCCAAGTATCAGCAAACAAACTCAAACCTAGGCTTGGAGTTAAAGATACAGCTCAGAAGTTAAGAGCGCTCATTGTTCTTGTATATGACATTGGTTCAGTTCCTAGTACCCACATGACAGCTCACAATCACCTGGTTCCAGAGGACCCAAATGCTCCCTTTTGGTCTCCATGAGCACCAGGCAAATACATGGTGCACAGACATGCATGCAGGCAAACCACTCATACACATAAAATGAAAATAAACAAATCTTCAAAAACAAAACAAAAATAACTAGACATCTTCTAACTTCAAATCTCACATCCCAAAGCCTGGTAGTGAGTTGTAGCACACGTCTTTAATCCTAGCACTGGGGGAGGCAGAGATGCGATGATCTCTCTGAGTTCAAGGCCAGTATGGTCTACAGAGTTAGTACTAGGACAGCCAAGGCTTCACAAAGAAACCATCACAAAAAACACCCCTCATATCCCTCGTGTTCTTGTTTTTTCGAGACAGGGTTTCTCTGCTTTTGAGCCTGTCCTGGAAATAGCTCTTGTAGACCAGGCTGGCCTTGAATTCACAGAGATCTGCTTGCTTCTGCCTCCCGAGTGTTGTTCCCT